AATTAAAACATTTCATATAAGTGTATTAAATTTCATGAAAATATCCGATTATAACATCGAATTCCCTGGCATAATTTGATTGAATAATGTATTGTTCAGTGTCCATCGCGTTGATCTTTGGAGTACTACAAATGAGACGGTGTCAAGCGAACTTGTACACGTTTATGTGAAATGGGCATCTCGTAAACGCGGAACGAATCTGCGAATACGCGTGAAAATAGAATTAGTTAGGGGAACCGACGGGCACGAAATGGAAGGGATTTGACGACGGCCATTTCTTAATATAAACGACGTATCGGCGAGACGTGTCCCTATCGTTTTCATTTGGAACGGGTAACGTCGCGTTTCCAGGAAAATCGATCACAAAAGACGTGTACGTAGGTACGAGCAGCGTTGTTTGCTCTCGCCCGACACTGCCGATTTATTATACCGATCCGACAGCCGTGCGGGATTACATTTTTACGCAATCGTCGCTGTTGAAGAATAGATGAGACGCTGTCGGAAATGTTTATTCTTACTTTTACCGTAGCCGATTCTTTGTCAAACTTTCACTCTAATGATACACGTTCCATTCAGAGATTTTTATATTTAGGCAATTTATATTGAAGGTCCTCAAACATTTTATATCGAAAATTCTACTTTCTCTTTGGTTTCGTCTATTTTATCACGTCGAGTTGTTAAATTCTTCACTTTTAGATGAATTATCGCTTGCTAATGAGAAACGGGGAAAAGATAAAAGCTTGGACTTTCGAGAACAGCGAATTCATCTTGTGTACGTAGGTACGTACGTACATAGAATTGCGTAATTCGAGGGAGATAAGAAATTATAAATTATTTCAAGATGCTCTATTACGCCCGAGGTCAACTGGATTAAATAGGAAGCAACGGTTCGATTGATACCGATTTCTTTTAATTACGCTCTTCTCTAGATGAAACGAATGCCTCTCGATTTCTCCTGTACTTTCCTGCGTCGGGTAAAACGGTCTCGTTAGCTTCGAGCACCCTCGCGAGGGACAATGGATGGGAGGAGTCGCTCGTTACCTCGCGAAACGATTAATTCAAGACATAATGAACGAGTCGTGAACGTAAACCTTTTACAAATTCCATCTCGCTGCAGATCTTTTCAACATTATGTTGCACGAGTCAATGATCAGTATCTCCTTATACATTGTTTTAATTAAAACATTTCATATAAGTGTATTAAATTTCATGAAAATATCCGATTATAACATCGAATTCCCTGGCATAATTTGATTGAATAATGTATTGTTCAGTGTCCATCGCGTTGATCTTTGGAGTACTACAAATGAGACGGTGTCAAGCGAACTTGTACACGTTTATGTGAAATGGGCATCTCGTAAACGCGGAACGAATCTGCGAATACGCGTGAAAATAGAATTAGTTAGGGGAACCGACGGGCACGAAATGGAAGGGATTTGACGACGGCCATTTCTTAATATAAACGACGTATCGGCGAGACGTGTCCCTATCGTTTTCATTTGGAACGGGTAACGTCGCGTTTCCAGGAAAATCGATCACAAAAGACGTGTACGTAGGTACGAGCAGCGTTGTTTGCTCTCGCCCGACACTGCCGATTTATTATACCGATCCGACAGCCGTGCGGGATTACATTTTTACGCAATCGTCGCTGTTGAAGAATAGATGAGACGCTGTCGGAAATGTTTATTCTTACTTTTACCGTAGCCGATTCTTTGTCAAACTTTCACTCTAATGATACACGTTCCATTCAGAGATTTTTATATTTAGGCAATTTATATTGAAGGTCCTCAAACATTTTATATCGAAAATTCTACTTTCTCTTTGGTTTCGTCTATTTTATCACGTCGAGTTGTTAAATTCTTCACTTTTAGATGAATTATCGCTTGCTAATGAGAAACGGGGAAAAGATAAAAGCTTGGACTTTCGAGAACAGCGAATTCATCTTGTGTACGTAGGTACGTACGTACATAGAATTGCGTAATTCGAGGGAGATAAGAAATTATAAATTATTTCAAGATGCTCTATTACGCCCGAGGTCAACTGGATTAAATAGGAAGCAACGGTTCGATTGATACCGATTTCTTTTAATTACGCTCTTCTCTTCGATAATAATAATCATCGACTCCTTTGTGACTGATCCGTAAGTCCTTTATTTAACGGAATCCTTCACCTCATTGCTCGCTCATCATGAAAATTGTTCTAAAGTAATAAAGACTTCTACTTATCGAATTGAGAAAAATGAATTTTCCAAAATAACATAATTTTTTTTAATACAATACAAATTGCGTTCAACGTGTCGTACCTTTTTCTACATTTTTTTTTAATAAAATATTTTCAGAGTCATTGAAATCGGAATAAGTTTCGATTTTATGTAAAATATGGCGTCAAGCACGAGTTTTACGTTGCAGTTTTCTATGTCTCAAAGCGAGACTCAATCATCGAAACAGCTGTCCTTATAATTAACATTTCGGCTCTTACGACGTGTATCCGAACGCTGGAAAATGCGATTTCACGAAAATTTCATAGCCTTTCGAAAGGAAACTTGTTATATTCCCTTTCGTCCACCCGTGGCAGTTAATTTTCCGCCGGGTTTTCGCCACGCGATCGGTTCGCGTAAAATAAATCCGACGTTTTTACGCGTTTTCTAAAGTTATGTTCAACGGGAAACCAGAGTTACGGTCGAATTCAGAATTGAAATGTATATTAATAATGTCGACGTATTCACTTCTGCATTGAACAACTCTCATGAACATTCTTTATGCAAATTTCTATTCGAATTTAAAAAATAGAAATTGAGATTTTTAAAGAATTATGTCACGTTCGTATTTACCTTTAATGCAAAAAGCCTCCGCGAGCTTTTGCATAAACTTTAATTATACAATCTAATTTTGAAAAACAAGATAACGGACCTGTTTTTATGTCACAAATTGTGCAATTTCCAGATAACAGTGGAAGTAATAAAAAAAAAAAAAGGAACGATCGGAAACAAATATTTAAACGGACTTGTTAGCCCGATCGAGGGTGACACAGGCGATAAAACGTAGCGACGTGTGAACATTATTTACAGGTACACGCGCTTATCGTTTTTTCACCCGTTTGACCGGGATCTATATCCGTTTTTCCACGAACAAAGCGAGAAAGACAAACCCTTTCCCACACGAATAGAACAAAAGCCGTTCAAGATTTTGTACAAAGTGTACTCATTTAAATAGAATTCATGTATGCGTTTCGAATATTTATAAAAATTCGACTGATCGATTGTGAAATGGAAGACAATATCTATTCTGCTTTGAACTTTTTAAGATATTTTAATATCGCATAAAATTATGAAACGGAATCATCGTTTTGAATTAACGATGTGATGTTATAATGCTTAATAAAATGTTTCATGCAACATTTCGTATAATGATTAATACTTCAATTAAAATCCTAATAAAAAGAATATTTAAAAAGCGATATAGACTTTTGGCATATGAGACAACAGATGGAACGTATAAAATTCTTTAATAGAATAAGTCCATCCGGCTTTGTTTCTTCGCTGAAGCATTCATTTACGTCCGCCTCTACATAGTTCAAGCTGTACGGTCATGCCTATTTTAACTGTATTCGAAAACACGCTGCAGAGCGTTGGGAAATATCGAACCGTGCGATCGACGTGAACTTGGCATGCCACGCGATGAATTCTGTTGAAAAATCAGTGGAAAAAATAAGAAAGTGTCTTTGCAGGAATTAATAAATTTATTTTTAATAAAAGACACTGAGCGAATATTTACATGAATCATTGAATAACTTCTTAGAACGTAACTCGATCCACTGTTTCTTCTTTTCTTACTTTGATAATTAACAAGACGTCGAGAATTGAAAGACAAACAAGCCTTGCTCACTCTGTGAGGATACCACATTCTTTCTAATTGTAAATTACTTAGATACTCATCACTTGAGACAATGCGTAAATTTGATTAAATTCTTTCATAACTCACGTCGCCATCGTCGAGTTGGTCTAATAACTAAAAAGCTGATCGCGTTGACCGAGTTTACTTTACTGAGAAAACTATGATTGCCCGCGATGGCGGTTGAAACGCGATACTCCAATTACGTGAAAAATACACTTACGCATCTCCAATCGAAAGTTATTGCCCCCGTGCGACCGGGGCGGTTGGACAACGAGAACCGCCGCTAGTCAAGTTTCAATTGACCCGGCGCTATACGATTTTTCTCGATCATCCACCCGGAGTTAATTACTCGACTGCTTGCGAATCGCGACGCTACTTCCTATCAATTAACGAACACAGCTTCTCCAAACTCTCTTTCCTATTTATGCCTCCCTTTCCAATTATTATCGTTCACTTGAGAACGTCGAGAATATTAAGAAAATGCAATAATTCCATTGCTTCCTTTATCGAATAAAAGTTAAATAATGGAATGAATTTTTTTTATAATGGCTCGTGTGTGGACGAACCCATATGAGACAATAGGAATTATTGACGCTATTTTATATCAATTAATCAAAACTCTGTTTCCTATTTATGCCTCCAATTATTATCGTTTACTTGAGAACGTCGAGAATATTAAAAAAGTGCAATAATTCCATTACTTCTTTTATCGAAAAGTTAAATCATGATGGAATGAATTTTTTTTTATAATGGTTCGTGTGTGTAGAAACATACATGGAACAATAGGAATTCTTGACGCTATTTCCTATCAATTAATCTAAACTCTGTTTTCTATTTATGCCTCCAATTATTATCGTTCACTTGAGAACGTCGAGAATATTAAAAAAGTGCAATAATTCCATTAGTTCTTTTATCGAAAAGTTAAATCACGATGGAATGAATTTCTTTTTTATAATGGTTCGTGTGTGTAGAAAGATACGTGGAACAATAGGAATTCTTTTGAGGATCAGAAAGTACGAGTGAAACGCACGGGTTTAGAGACAGCGGAGGCGGACGAAGAAAGGAGGAATAGGAGAGTAGAAGTCGAAGAGGCATTTGTGTACTTACAGGACCGTGGTGTTGGTCGGCACCCGTGGCACACGATCCAACTTCTGAAACATGCATCTGACGGTAGTCCCGAAGCACATGCACAAGTGCGGACATCCCACGTCGTCCTGGCGCTCGTCCGCGAAGGACGACGGGAGGATCAACAGGAGCGAACAAACGACACTTAATGCGAGCCTCATCTCGATGCCCGATCGATCCTGTTCACATCTGAGACTATTACTGGACACCAGCACGTGCTCTGATCATCGAGATAAACGCGATCTTCTGCGCTGGTGTACTTTCACTTCTGCTTTCGGAGAACGCGTCCCTGCAACCGTTTCAAACGGACCTCCAGGATCCGACTTACGCCCGACGATGGCTAATTCGTCCGACTAATTCCTTTTCGATTCTGAGCAACAAAATAAATTTCGAAGTGAATCAAAGAAAATCTCTGTAAATTCTAAGTAAAAGAATCGTTTGAATTAGTCAGAGAATCGCTCATCGTTCTACGTGCAGCGCCTGGTTCGAGTTTAAAAAGGTTCTCCAAAAATCGACTTCTCAATTCGTATTCTGAATACTTAAAGGCTTGAAATAAAATTTCTCGATAATTAAAGAAACCAAGCGAGGTACGGAAAGAATGTTCTACCGGTGAAACAGCAACTGGTATATCCGAGCACGGTGTTCACAGAAACTTCACTGCACCCGGGATGCAAAATTCCTCGAGGCCTGCGCGCTCGTCGTTTTGCGATCGTCGGTGGACGCGGCGGCGACGAAGGGAAAAAGAGGAACAGACGATACGCTCCGGTGTGGGACGCCGCCGCTGCGTTCCTCGTCTCGTCGCGGCGGCTCGGTTACTACTGGAGCCAGTGGAGCCGGCGGCGGCGATGCGATCCGCTCCGCTTCGCAGCGCGTTTCAGCTTTTCCTCGCGAGAACCGTCCGCCCCCGCCGCTCCGTCACGCTCCGATCCGCTCGGCGCCGCTCCGTTCCTCATCCTTCCTCACCGGTTATTGCGGTTCTTATTTTTTTACACTTCATCTTTATTCAAGGGTTTCATGAAATATTAAACGGGGAATTCCGATTTATCAATTTTTTACGGTGTAAGATTGTTAGGATTAGAACGTCTAGATGAAGAATTTTCAACTTTGTAAAAGTAGTAGAAGAAAAGGAAGGATAATGATAGAACACTTCATTTTTATTCTGATAAAATTTATTAATGAAGTAAGTTCGATTACAATATTTTGTGACATGATAAGAGTAATAAGACAGTTCTTAAGATTGTATGTATGAGCCATAAGATATCTGTCAAAAGTTTAAAACACGTAATAAAAAGCTGGGTTCAATATTTGAAAAAATAATATTTACAGAGGAGTAAAGTTTCTAAAATTCGACTTGTTTTTCTTCATCATAAGAAATTTTTAA